ACATACGAACTTGTTATGAATAAATAATAAGAGTCTGAAGTATCGTAACTCTCGATAAACCAGAGGAGTAAAGCAGCGAACTGCAAGGTGCAGTGCTTGGAAATAATGTATATGGTTATTTCTACACTAAACAGTCAGGGATCAAGAAATAATAATAATAATAATAATAATAATAATAATAATAATAATAATAATAATAATAATAATAATAATAATAATCACCATGGTTGTTCAATATATTTATAGATGGAGTTGTAGGAGAAGTGAATGCTCGGGTGTTGTCAAGAGGTGTGGGGTTAAAGGATAAAGAATCGAACACAAAGTGGGAGTTGTCACAGTTGCTCTTTGCTGATGACACTGTGCTTTTGGGAGATTCTGAAGAGAAGTTGCAGAGGTTGGCTGATGAGTTTGGTAGGGTATGTAAAAGAAGGAAATTAAAAATAAATGTAGGAAAGAGTAAGGTGATGAAGATAACCAAAAATTTAGGTAACGAAAGATTGGATATCAGATTGGAGAGAGAGAGTATGGAGGAGGTGAATGTACTCAGATATTTGGGAGTGGACGTGTCAGCAGATGGGTCTATGTAAGATGAGGTGAATCATAGAAACGATGAGGGGAAAAAGGTGAGTCTCCACAGACTGAGGAGTCTGTGGAGACAAAGAACTTTGTCCATGAAAGCAAAGAGGGGAATGTATGAGAGTATAGTTATACCAACGCTTCTGTATGGGTGTGAGGCATGGGTTGTCAATATTGCAACAAAGAGAAGGGTGGAGGCAGTGGAGATGTCATGTCTGAGGGCAATGTGTGGTGTGAATATAATGCAGAGAATCCATAGTTTGGAGATTAGGAGGTGGTGTGGGATTACCAAAACTATTATTGAGAGGGCTGAGGAAGGGTTATTGAAATGGTTTGGACATGAAGAAAGGATGGAACGAAATATAATGACTTCGAGCGTGTTTAAATCTGTAGTGGAGGGAAGGCAGGGTGGGGGGTCAGCCTAGGAAAGGTTGGAGGGAGGAGGTAAGGGAGGATTTGTGTGCGAGGGCTTGGACTTCCAACAAGCATGCGTGAGCGTGTTAGATAGGAGCAAATGGAGACAAATGGTTTTTAGGACTTGACGTGCTGTTGGAGTGTAAGCAAGATAACATTTATGAAGGAATTCAGGGAAACCGGCAGGCCGGACTTCAGTCATGGAGATGGGAAATACAGTGCCTGCTCTCTGAAGGGGGGGGGGTGTTAATGTTGCAGTTTTGTAAATGTAATGTAAGCATGCCTCTGGCAAGACAGTGATGGAGTGAATGATGAAAGCTTTTCTTTTTTCGGGCCATCCTGCCTTGGTGATAAACGGCCAATGTGTTAATAAATATAATAATAATAATAATAATAATAATAATAATAATAATAATAATAATAATAATAATAATAATAATAAATAGCTTTGTTTATATTATGAAATAATCTACAAAGTGAATAAATAAGTTGATTTGACCAAGAATTTCTTTTTCTTCTTTGGGGTTAATTCTTTACTTAATCTTTCACACATTACAGTATAACTTTGGATATTACACGTGAGCTGTCAGGGTTAAAAATGTAAATAATACAAACTGTTTTTGCTATAATGGCTAATTTATAATTTCATGCAATATTTAGAAGTGTTGCTGCGGGACTGATAGTAGTACGTCACGGTGGTACATCTGGGTGGGTCAGTGTGGTGCGTCACGGTGGTACATCTGGGTGGGTCAGTGTGGTGCGTCACGGTGGTACATCTGGGTGGGTCAGTGTGGTGCGTCACGGTGGTACATCAGGGTGGGCCAGTGTCGTGCGTCACGGTGGTACATCTGGGTGGGTCACTGTGGTGCGTCACGGTGGTACATCAGGGTGGGTCAGTGTGGTGCGTCACGGTGGTACATCGGGTGGGTCAGTGTGGTGCGTCACGGTGGTACATCAGGGTGGGCCAGTGTGTGCGTCACGGTGGTACATCTGGGTGGGTCATGTGGTGCGTCACGGTGGTACATCAGGGTGGGCCAGTGTGGTGCGTCACGGTGGTACATCAGGGTGGGCAGTGTGGTGCGTCACGGTGGTACATCAGGGTGGGTCACTGTGGTGCGTCACGGTGGTACATCTGGGTGGGCCAGTGTGGTGCGTCACGGTGGTACATCAGGGTGGGTCAGTGTGGTGCGTCACGGTGGTACATCAGGGTGGGTCAGTGTGGTGCGTCACGGTGGTACATCTGGGTGGGTCAGTGTGGTGCGTCACGGTGGTACATCTGGGTGGGCCAGTGTGGTGCGTCACGGTGGTACATCAGGGTGGGTCAGTGTGGTGCGTCACGGTGGTACATCTGGGTGGGCCAGTGTGGTGCGTCACGGTGGTACATCTGGGTGGGCCAGTGTGGTGCGTCACGGTGGTAAATCTGGGTGGGCCAGTGTGGTGCGTCACGGTGGTACATCTGGGTGGGCCAGTGTGGTGCGTCACGGTGGTACATCTGGGTGGGTCAGTGTGGTGCGTCACGGTGGTACATCTGGGTGGGCCAGTGTGGTGCGTCACGGTGGTACATCTGGGTGGGCCAGTGTGGTGCGTCACGGTGGTACATCTGGGTGGGTCACTGTGGTGCGTCACGGTGGTACATCTGGGTGGGCCAGTGTGGTGCGTCACGGTGGTACATCTGGGTGGGTCAGTGTGGTGCGTCACGGTGGTACATCTGGGTGGGTCAGTGTGGTGCGTCACGGTGGTACATCTGGGTGGGTCAGTGTGGTGCGTCACGGTGGTACATCAGGGTGGGCCAGTGTGGTGCGTCACGGTGGTACATCTGGGTGGGTCACTGTGGTGCGTCACGGTGGTACATCTGGGTGGGCAGTGTGGTGCGTCACGGTGGTACATCTGGGTGGGTCAGTGTGGTGCGTCCACGGTGGTACATCTGGGTGGGTCAGTGTGGTGCGTCACGGTGGTACATCAGGGTGGGCCAGTGTGGTGCGTCACGGTGGTACATCTGGGTGGGTCAGTGTGGTGCGTCACGGTGGTACATCTGGGTGGGTCAGTGTGGTGCGTCACGGTGGTACATCAGGGTGGGCCATGTGTGGTGCGTCACGGTGGTACATCGGGTGGGTCACTGTGGTGCGTCACGGTGGTAACATCTGGGTGGGCCAGTGTGGTGCGTCACGGTGGGTACATCAGGGTGGGCCAGTGTGGTGCGTCACGGTGGTACATCGGGTGGGTCACTGTGGTGCGTCACGGTGGTACATCATGGGTGGGCCAGTGTGGTGCGTCACGGTGGTACATCAGGGTGGGTCAGTGTGGTGCGTCACGGTGGTACATCAGGGTGGGTCACTGTGGTGCGTCACGGTGGTACATCTGGGTGGGCCAGTGTGGTGCGTCACGGTGGTACATCAGGGTGGGTCAGTGTGGTGCGTCACGGTGGTACATCTGGGTGGGCCAGTGTGGTGCGTCACGGTGGTACATCAGGGTGGGCCAGTGTGGTGCGTCACGGTGGTACATCTGGGTGGGTCAGTGTGGTGCGTCACGGTGGTACATCAGGGTGGGCCAGTGTGGTGCGTCACGGTGGTACATCAGGGTGGGTCACTGTGGTGCGTCACGGTGGTACATCTGGGTGGGCCAGTGTGGTGCGTCACGGTGGTACATCAGGGTGGGCCAGTGTGGTGCGTCACGGTGGTACATCAGGGTGGGTCACTGTGGTGCGTCACGGTGGTACATCTGGGTGGGCCAGTGTGGTGCGTCACGGTGGTACATCAGGGTGGGTCAGTGTGGTGCGTCACGGTGGTACATCAGGGTGGGTCACTGTGGTGCGTCACGGTGGTACATCTGGGTGGGCAGTGTGGTGCGTCACGGGGGTACATCAGGGTGGGCAGTGTGGTGCGTCACGGTGGTACATCTGGGTGGGCCAGTGTAGTGCATCACGGTGGTACATCTGGGTGGGCCAGTGTGGTGCGTCACGGTGGTACATCAGGGTGGGCCAGTGTGGTGCGTCACGGTGGTACATCAGGGTGGGTCACTGTGGTGCGTCACGGTGGTACATCAGGGTGGGTCAGTGTGGTGCGTCACGGTGGTACATCAGGGTGGGCCAGTGTGGTGCGTCACGGTGGTACATCAGGGTGGGCCAGTGTGGTGCGTCACGGTGGTACATCTGGGTGGGCCAGTGTGGTGCGTCACGGGGGTACATCAGGGTGGGCCAGTGTGGTGCGTCACGGTGGTACATCTGGGTGGGTCAGTGGGTGCGTCACGGTGGTACATATGGTGGGCAGTGTAGTGCGTCACGGTGGTACATCAGGGTGGGCCAGTGTGGTGCGTCACGGTGGTACATCTGGGTGGGTCAGTGTGGTGCGTCACGGTGGTACATCTGGGTGGGCCAGTGTAGTGCGTCACGGTGGTACATCAGGGTGGGTCAGTGTGGTGCGTCACGGTGGTACATCTGGGTGGACCAGTGTGGTGCGTCACGGTGGTACATCAGGGTGGGTCAGTGTGGTGCGTCACGGTGGTACATCTGGGTGGGCCAGTGTGGTGCGTCACGGTGGTACATCTGGGTGGACAGGTGTGGTGCGTCACGGTGGTACATCAGGGTGGGCCAGTGTGGTGCGTCACGGTGGTACATCTGGGTGGGTCAGTGTGGTGCGTCACGGTGGTACATCTGGGTGGGTCAGTGTGGTGCGTCACGGTGGTACATCTGGGTGGGCCAGTGTAGTGCGTCACGGTGGTACATCTGGGTGGGTCAGTGTGGTGCGTCACGGTGGTACATCAGGGTGGGCCAGTGTGGTGCGTCACGGTGGTCCATCTGGGTGGGTCAGTGTGGTGCGTCACGGTGGTACATCTGGGTGGGTCAGTGTGGTGCGTCACGGTGGTACATCAGGGTGGGTCAGTGTGGTGCGTCACTGTGGTACATCTGGGTGGGTCAGTGTGGTGCGTCACGGTGGTACATCTGGGTGGTCAGTGTGGTGCGTCACCGGTGGTCTTCAAGGTGGTTGCGCCAGGTAACACGGGCAAAGTCGTGACTAGTACTCGACTGTGAAGTCAACAACACTGGTCAGTCGGTAACCAAGTGACCCAAGCTGCTGCTTGTGCCTCCCGAGTGTCGGTAACTTCTCTGACCGTTGTAGTGCCAAGTCATGCTCCTGTCAACCAACAATTTTATTTTTTACACTATTTGCATTAATATAGATATATCTAGGTTTACAGTGCCGATAATTATTAAATTTAACAAAATATAAACATACCAAGCAAATTAAATATTATTCCTTCGCATTTGACACTAACTTATGAAACCATGTACGTCATATAACCTAATGACAAATGCACAGATATCTTATTTGTTTCACTTTATTTTAGAAAAATAGATAACTCGTGGGTGTAATGTAGCTTTAAAATTTAAAAGGTTAATAAACATTTTCGTCATTTAAGCTTTTGAAGAAAATATGAGCCTTACGCAACGGACAGTTCTTGTCATATCCGTAATCAGTCAATGTGAACCTTTTCTCCTGGCCCACCATATTCGAGGGAGAATACTTTTTAAGTGATAAATATTAGCGCTGTCACATACTAAGGTATCTGGTACCAGATTTTATAACTAGATGCTTTATGGTTATTGTTTGTCGAATAGCAATGTATTATGCACCCGTGGATACATAACTATCAAAGTTCAATAATGTATATCAAGGTTAATAATGCAAATAGCGTACAGCGATCTCGTTTCTCATACCAATAAATTAAAGCATCATAGTCTTAAAAAGTAAAATTAGATCTAGGGATCGCGCCTTCCTGTCAGCTGCCGCATTAGCCACCGACTTCATTGATCAGCTGTTATATTGAATTTTCTTTCTGGCTATTTCGTGAATGAAATTTTGGCATTTGTTCCCAGACAAATTCATCCGTTTAAATGGCAAACCTGATACAAACTACACTTATCTTGCTGGTCCATTTAAATCTGATGCATTGTAAAAAGAGTTATACACCTCAGATGCAAAACAACCACGGGGGGATTGTAGATGAATGGTTCAGAGAACCGACATGTTGTTGAATTAGACACATGTGCAACTCTTGGGTATCTTTATTGGGGAAACGTTTCGTGAAGAACAGGAGGAGAATGAGGTAATCAGTCCCTCAGCCTTGAGTCGACGTGGTCAGTCCATCAATCTTGAATAGAATAGAATTCTATTCAATAGAATAGAATTCTATTCAAGATTGATGGACTGACCACATCGACTCAAGGCTGAGGGACTGATTACCTCATTCTCCTCCTGTTCTTCAATTCTATTCAAGATTGATGGACTGACCACATCGACTCAAGGCTGAGGGACTGATTACCTCATTCTCCTCCTGTTCTTTAAGTTTCTCCTTTGTATGGACTGATGAAGCCACTGTGTGGCGAAACGTTTCCCCAATAAAGATACCCAAGAGTTGCACATGTGTCTAATTCAACAACCACGGGGGGAGTAGAATAATAGCTCTAGGCCTTTCGTGTTGCAATCAACACATCATCAGGAGCTTGCAAAATTGCAGAAAAGAGGAGGGGTTCTAGCAAATAACGTTCCCAGAGGACCGCCTTTACTGTAGATCTGGGAACGTTATTTGCTAGAACCCCTCCTCTTTTCTGCAATTTTGCAAGCTCCTGTTGATGTGTTGATTACAACACGAAAGGCCTAGAGCTATTAATCATTCCCCCCGTGGTTGTTTTGCATCTTGTATCGCTTGGTTTGCGAAATTTGCTTAACACCTCAGATGTTAACAGGGGAAAGGTGTTAAGTCCTTTCAGAATTAATCACAAGTTAAACTACATATTACATCATTAATAACACACATTCTACGCTAACTATGAGTAACAACTTAGTGTGACTTTCTGCAATTTAAAACTAATGATACTTACAGAATATCCATGGGTGTAGGCATACTCCAAGAGGTCTGGTAGTGACATCCCGGCCGCGCGGACAGAGCAAAACTCTCCAATTACATTAGGTTTGTCAAGATTGTAGTCAGAGGCATCCACCTATAAATATTAAGGTAGAATAGTCTTAATACCGCTATATACAGAACCACACACCCCGAATAGGCAGAACTTGCCATCTTGGCTTAAATAGCAACGCTCATCTTGCCATATAGGACAATTGAAAATTTGTGTATGCAATAATTTCGCCAAAATCATTTTGAACCTAACAAAAAAAATATATTTGATTGTGTTTGTTTAGTACTAAATTATTGTAAACTTATTTAAAATATATTTAGTTGGGTTAGGCTAAAATAAATTGCTCTTGTTATAATAAGTTTTCTAAGATTCTTTTGTTGCAAAATTAAAATTTTTTACGTTAACATTAATGAAAAAATATATCTTTAAACGTATAAGATATATATATACATATATATATATATATATATATATATATATATATATATATAATATATATATATATATATATATATATATATATATATATATATATATATATATATATGTCGTGCCGAATAGGCAGAACTTGCGATCTTGACTTAAATAGCAACGTTCATCTTGCCATATAGGAAAAGTGAAAATTTGTGTATGCAATAATTTCGCCAAAATCATTCTGAACCAAACGAAAAAAATATATTTCATTGTGTTTGTTTAGTATTAAATTATTGTAAACAAATTTAAAATATATTTAGTTGGGTTAGAGTAAAATAAATTGCGCTTGTTATAATAAGGTTAGGTAAGTTTTCTAAGTTCCTTTTGGTGCAAAATTCTAAATTTTTACATCAACATTAATGAAAAAAATATATCTTTAAACGTATAAGAAAATTTTAGAAAGGACTTAATTTTAAATGAGTTCTTGCTAATTGACCAGTTTGACATATTCGGCACGACATATATATATATATATATATATATATATATATATATATATATATATATATATATATATATATATATATATAGATACATAGGGATTGGTAGAGAGCGTGAATAGCTCTTTCTATAAAGGGAAGGGGGAAGACAAAAGAGATTGTAAAAATTATAGCGTAAAATATATAGTAAGGTTATTATTAAAAGAACTGGAGGTAAAACAGAGAGCAGGATTGCAGATGAACAAGGAGGCATTAGAATGGGTAGGGGATGTGTAGCTCAAGTGTTTACATTGAAGCATATATGTGAGCAGTATTTAGATAAGGGTAGGAAAGTTTTCATTGCATTTATGGATCTAGAAAAGGCATATGATAGAGTTGATAGGGGAGCAATGTAGCAGACGTTGCAAGTGTACAGAATAGGTAGCAAGTTACTAAATGTTGTAAAGAGTTTTTATGAGGATACTGAGGCTCAGGTTAGGGTATGTAGGAGAGAAGGAGATTATTTCCCAGTAAAAGTAGGTCTTAGACAGGGATGTGTAATATCACCATGGTTGCTTAACATATTTTTAGATGGGGTTGGGGAGAGGGGTGGGATTAACATATAGGGAATCAAATACAAAATGGTAGTTGACACAGTTACTTTTTGCTTATGATACTGTGCTTTTGGGAGATTCTAAAGAAAAGTTACAAAGGTTAGTGGACGAGTTTGGGAGGGTGTGTAATGGTAGAAAGTTGAAAGTGAACATAGATAAGTGTAAAGTGATGAGGGTATCAAACGATTTAGATAAAGAAAAGTTGGATATCACATTGGATGGAGTATGGAAGAAGTGAATGTGTTCAGATATTTGGGAGTTGACTTGTCAGCAGAGGGGTTTATGAAGGATGAGGTTAACTATAGAATTGATAAAGGCAAAAAGGTGATTAGTGCATCGAGGTGTCTATGGAGACAAAAAAAAAAAAAAACGTTATCCGTGGAGGCAAAGAAAGGAATGTACGAGAGTGTAGTGGTACCAACACTCTTATATAGGTGTGAAGCATGGGTTGTAAATGCTGCAGCAAGGAGGAGGCTGGAGGCAGTGGAGATGTGTCTAAGGGCAATGTGTGTAGAAAATATTATGGAGAGAATTCGTAGTGTGGAAATTAGGAGGTGGAGTTACTAAAAGTATTAATCAGAAGGTTGAAGAGGGGTTGTTGAGGCGGTTTCGTCATTTAGAGAGAATGAAACAAAGTAGAATGAATTGGAGACCGTATAAATCTGTAGGGAAAGGAAGATGGGGTAGGGGTCGTCCTAGGAAAGGATGGAGAGAGAGGGTAAAGATTTTGTGGGCAAGGGGCCTGGACTTCCAGCAAGCGTGCATGAGTATGTTAGATTGGAGTGAATGAATACGAATGGTTTTTAGGACCTGATGAGCTGTTGGAGTGTCAGCAGGGTAATATTTTGTGAATTGATTCAGGGAATCCGGTTAGCCGGACTTGAGTCCTGGAGGGGAAAGTACAACGCCTGCACTTTAAAGAAAGTGTCGTATCTGGGCGCCTCTGCAAAGACAGTGATTATCTATGAATGATGGTGAAAGTGTTAAACGATGAAAGTTTTTCTTTCTTTTAGGGTTTTTCTTTCTTTTTGGGTAACCCTGCCTCGGTGAGAAACGGCCGACGTGTTAAAAAAAAGGCAAATATACTGAAAAAAGCCTCACTGAGAGGCAGAAATATACATTTGCTTTACTTTCGTCACGTGAGTTAATTTGTGTCACTGGCAGATGTTGTGAGTAATAACCCTCCACACACGCACACACACACACACACACAAACAAATGAGAGGTCGGTCGTTTGGGTCATTATGTACACGATGTGCACTAAAGGAAAAAAATCAACTTGGGAGTGAGTATTAATGAATTTTCTTCTTGTCTTAACGTCTGCATACACTTTCACGAGGTTAAGTATATGCCAAATTCCATCAAGACAATGAATAATTATTGGAAATGATATCTTATACAAATACTCACAGTGAAGGGTGCGCCATTGGTCCAGGCACCTTGCCAGTCATAGCTGTGCATCTGGTAATAGTCAAGTTGGGCGCCCGAGCCGCCTGCGGCTTGGTTGAGACATGCATCTGTGTAATGGTTGTGAGAGCTGGGAAAGACGTCATTCTGCGAGAATTGACCTGCAGATACAATAGTCATATATTAATGTAGTCAAGGGTTTTGATTAATATTGTCAAAGGTTTTTGCCTTTACGTGAACTAATTATATGAGCTGTTTAATATTTGTATTCAGAAAAGTCATATGCTTTCCGTATTTCACTAATATCATGTTAATGTTTTAATAATATAAAAACAGGAACACTGTAGGAGGTTTACTGGCCCATACAACTAGCCCAGTTTTTACCTTTTAAAATATAACATTGTTACACTAAAAATTGAGTTAATTAATCTGTAATCACTGACTACAGGAAAATATTGTGGCTTGTGATGGAGACTGAGTTGCAGGGACTTACTCCAAGAGCCAATAGTGAGGAGGGTCGCAGGGTCGACAGCGCGGACAGCCTGGTTCTGAAGGCCAATAAACCTAAGCCATCTGTCGAAGAGAAAACTTATGTTAATTAAACACTAGCGAAAAGTCAGTGTTCAAGATGTTCTGATGAACTATATAACTATCATATATGATGATATGAGGAAGAGTTGTATGAACCGTGAACTACCAGACAGGATGGGACTTACACAGACGACAACAAGGAAATGAGTGAAATATTGAAATCCCAGTACGACTCTGTGTTTAGTGAACCACTAATCGGTCTGAGGATCGACGACCCAAATGATTTCTTCATGAATGAGCCTCAAAACTCCATAAATGTATGCCAGATTTCCGACATTACCCTAACTCCGATAGATTTCGAAAAAGCCATTGACAACATGCCTATGCACTCAGCCCCGGGCCCAGACTCGTGGAACTCTGTTTTCATTAAGAACTGCAAGAAACCCCTCTCGCGTGCCCTAAGTACACTATGGAGGAGGAGCTTGGACATGGGTGAAATTCCACAGTCACTTAAAACAACGGATATAGCCCCGCTCCATAAAGGTGGCAGCAAAGCATTAGCTAAGAACTATAGACCAATAGCTCTGACGTCCCACATCATAAAAATCTTTGAAAGAGTGCTAAGAAGCAGGATTGCAAATCACCTGGATTCCCAAAATCTGCACAATCCAGGGCAACATGGGTTCAGGGCAGGTCGCTCCTGTCTCTCACAACTACTGGATCACTATGACATGGCCTTGGATGCACTGGAAGAAAATCAGAATGCAGATGTAATATACACAGACTTTGCAAAAGCATTTGACAAATGCGATCATGGCGTAATAGCCCATAAAATACGTGCTAATGGAATAACTGGGAAAGTGGGGAGATGGATCTTCAACTTCCTAACAAATCGAACACAAAGAGTAGTGGTCAACAGAGTTAAATCGGAGGCTGCCATAGTGAAGAGCTCTGTTCCACAAGGCACAGTACTCGCCCCCATCTTATTCCTTATCCTCATATCAGACATAAACAGAGATATACACCACAGCACCGTATCATCCTTTGCGGATGATACTAGGATCTGCATGAGGCTGTCATCTGCTGAGGACGCGGTTAACCTCCAAGAAGATATAAACAAAGTTTTCCAGTGGGCAACGGTAAACAATATGATGTTCAATGAGGACAAATTCCAACTACTCCGTTATGGAAAACTGGAGGAGATAATAACTAGAACAGAGTATACTACTGACTCCGGCCATACAATAGAGCGGAAAAATAATGTAAGGGACCTGGGAGTAGTAATGTCTGAGGATCTCACTTTCAAGGATCACAACAGTGTCACGATCGCACGTGCAAAGAAAATGATAGGATGGATAATGAGAACTTTCAAAACGAGAGATGCCAAGCCCATGATGATCCTTTTCAAATCACTTGTTCTCTCTAGGCTGGAATACTGCTGTACATTAACATCTCCATACAAAGCAGGTGAAATCGCAGATCTAGAGAGTGTACAGAGATCCTTTACTGCACGTATAAGTTCTGTCAAGCACCTTAACTACTGGGAACGCTTGAAAGCACTTGACTTGTACTCGTTGGAACGCAGGAGGGAGAGATATATCATAATCTACACTTGGAAAATCTTGGAAGGAATGGTCCCAAATCTGCACACAGAAATCACTCCCTACGAAAGTAAAAGACTGGGCAGGCGATGCAAAATGCCGCCAATAAAAACGTAGGGGCGCCATTGGTACACTAAGAGAAAACACCATAAGTGTCCGGGGCCCAAAACTGTTCAACAGCCTCCCATCAAGCATTAGGGGAATTGCCAATAAACCCCTGGCTGCCTTCAAGAGAGAGCTGGACAGATACCTAAAGTCAGTGCCGGATCAGCCGGGCTGTGGCTCGTACGTCGGACTGCGTGCGGCCAGCAGTAACAGCCTAGTTGATCAGGCCCTGATCCATCGGGAGGCCTGGTCGTGGACCGGGCCGCGGGGGCGTTGATCCCGGAATAACCTCCAGGTAACCTCCTCCAGGTAACCAGGTAACCATCTTATGAGAATGAAGTGAACATGTTACCCCCTGTATCCTCAACATTATTTCAGTTTTAACCAGAATTCATACCTGAGTTGAAAATTATGTGCAACGTGTTCTGGGACAACAGTGAGGCCTGTCATAGTCTTTGGACTCGATTTGAGTTCAAGGTAAAATAAATTTCACACACTAAGGAGGCAGCTCACTGTCCATACAATTCCCTTCTATTTATATTGCTAGCCACACCAGTATGATTTTTTCATATATTACAAAATGCATAAATAAAAATTTTTAAAACCTTTTAAGTTTGCTGAAATTAAGATATGCGAAACTGATAGGAAATTAACACGTTTATTTAGCCTAAAAGTACACAGTAACTGTGCTAAATACTCCGAAACTTTTTAATAAATAACCACCGTTGCTTACTCGTCTATATTTTCTATACTAACATTAATTATAGCTACAACACTGTCCATTCTCTCCCTAACACCTAGCCACTCGCCTCTCCATGGGAATGTTTACACCAGTCCAGCCGGCGCCTTGTTGACCGATGGCGGTGGTGTCATAACATGGGTCGCTGTTGCTCTCCACCTGTAACAGAACACCCGTTATCCATACAGTCTGGCAGATTCCTCAGTCAAATAATGGAAAAAAAAATCTTGTTTAAGAGTACGAATGCAAGAGGAAAGACTGGGTGGAGGATAAAATAGTCAAGAAGAGAAGGGCACACAAATAACACGCACATTTGTAAATGGTCCAAGTTGGACCGAAACGTCGTCGTAAGCTCCTCTCTTCTATGTACGGGTTATTTGAGTATTGTTTCAGTCACGGTATTGTGCCTTTTATCGTTATTTAAGAAGAGAAGGGACAGCTGGAGGTAATAAATATTCCTAAATCTTTAAATAATATTTAAATGGTAAGTACAAAAAATATTTACTTGAATTTTTTAAATATAATGTAAACTAAACATACTAATGTGAAATTTGCTTAACCCATTTTTTTTTGTTATCACAAATGAAGAGGTGGATGGACAGTGTAACATTTATCCTGCCAGAGTATGAAGACTAACTGTGGTGACTTAACTAGCACACATAGTGGGTGTGGCCTGGACCACCATGTCTGGTGTCGTCTTGACAACCAGATATGGCGAGGTCTTGACCACCTGTCTACCGTGGTGTCTTGAAGACCAAGTATGGCGTGGTTATGATAATCAGGTCTGCTGTGGTCTTGACGACCAGGTCTGTTGTGGTCTTGACGACCAGGTCTGGCACTCGTGCACCTGTGGAGTTGCAATGTGAGAGCACTAGAGCACAGGCACCCACCTTCACTGATCCCTCGGGTTCGTTGACGGCCTCGACTGATGCCAGGGCAGGATGTCCCTTGATCTTTTCCATCAGTGGCTGCCAGGGAAAACTGTCATTAATAAACACAGCTTTGTACAGCCTTTCAATAACTGAATCAATAATGCTAGATGTTCTGACAGACATTTTTACTATACATAATATGTTCAATATATATTCTTGAAACTCTGATTATTCACTGTAAGACAGTTTTGTATGTAGGATTCGATCTTGGTGTCGTCCTGCAACATATCAATGGTTTTCTGGTAAGAGAGAGCAGCGCCGTTCCACAAACACAGATTGACCAGCACGCCGCTCTGTTCTCCAGCGTCCAGTAAGCTCAAAACATCGCTCTCGAAGTCACCCGTTCTGTCACAGGCGGTGACGAAGCCGTTCTCGTCAAAAGAAGGGGTGTTTTGTCCTTCCACGTGGACCCACACCCCTGAGAGATACAATATAGGGTAAAGAAATAAAATTTATATTAAAATTAACAGCTGTAAATACTTGGATTCGTATACTGGAATAATCAATATTCACAACTCATTGTAAATGTGCACCAACTCTTAGTATTGTTGAATCACTATCAAAAGTAGATGTGTTCCCGACAAGAGGAAACAAACAAAATTCCAGAAATCAAAAAAATATATTATTCAATATCAAATTCATTAGTGGCATGGGCCTCAAATAACTAAGTAGATTGAAGTCAAACAAGTCACTGGGTCCTTTTGAGCTGTTTTCAAGGGATATACATTAATATAAGGAGGAACTTAGCAAACCATCAGTCTCTTCAACATATCACTACAAAAGAGTATCATACTGGATAAATGTAAAATGTAAAATGTGATACCTAGTTATGAAGAGGGAGATAAGTACTTATCTTCAAATTATAAACCAGTCAACCTGATCTCAATTAGGAAAGTTGATGGGATCAAGAATTGCTATTGCAATTCGTAACACTTTCAGAGATATAATCTGATCAACGAATCTCAATAGAGTTTTACAAAAGAGCGTTCTTGCCTTACGAAATTACTGACCTTTGTCACTAAGACATTCAATATGGTAAAGAATACGATATTGTGTATATGGACTTCAGTAAGGAATCTGATAAAGTTCCACACAATAGACAGGTTAAGAAAGTAGCAGCGCACGGTACAGAAATTATCTCCTGGGTCGAGGTACTACTAGCCGATAAGCAACCCTTTACCGGTCCTGCCCGGTAAAGGGAGCAGAACGGGGACCCGTTACGTGTGGTGTACCACAGCGTTCAGTGTTAGTACCAAATTTGTTCACAATCTACATAAACTACATAGATGAGGGAATAAATGGCGATATAAGTTTGCTGATGACATATAGAACGTCAATAATATCTGAAAGAGGAAACTAGGAAGCTACAGGCTGACCTGGCTACATTGATTTTGTGGTCGGAGAGGTGGCAGACGTAGTTTAATGCAAACAGGTGTAAGGTTCTAGTCCCAGGAAAACAAAATATCTGTGGAACATGTAAGCTTAATAAGTAAATCTTAATCAAAGTGAATGCGAAAAGATTTCGGAGTTCTGTTCAGCAGAAAGCCAAGGTTAATGGTACATAAGTGTTCTAAATATAGCTACTATAATTCTTGGCTTCATATCAAAAAGTATAAACGAAGTCTTAAGGTCATATTTCAACTTTATATATCTTTGATTACGCGCGCTGATTCCCACAATAAAGAGCGAACATAAATGCGCGGGCAAATAAACAGAAGGATAACGAAGTTGACTCTATGTATCAGAATCCTTTCCTACGAAGATAGGTGGACGGCATGAATTTGCACTCTCTGGAAAGACATAAAATTAGGAAAAATATGACTGAAATGTACAAATGGGAAACAAGAATAAATAGAGGACATAAACTCCCAGACTGTGTCATTGAGCAAGAACTAAGTTGGACGGGTACATGAACGGGCGTGGGTAGTTGAGTTCAACCACTGCAGTAGTCCAATAGCCTTACTGCGGTGTTTTTTCTTGTCTCACTGTGAGATCCGAGAGAGGTATTCCCTGTATCACGTAACCCAAGCCACTCGTACTTCGACGTAAGCAAGAGGTCTAGTAGTTGTATCTCAAAACTCTCACAGTTTAGTTTCTTAAGAAGTCTAGCACCGGTAGTTTGACGCCATCAAAAAACTCAGGGCCAACATCTTGGAAAGTACCAAGAGCAGGAACTAAATCAAGTCAAACGTTAAAAATATGATAACGCATAATCGAAACTAGGCTAGCTAGAGTAATTACTATAAGTGCCATATCATAAAAATTAATATCCTAATCTTAATGGAATTCAAGGACATTGTTTTCCTACGCAAGATATGCTAGAACTTAGCATTTTATAAGCGTAAAATTAAAAGCTTGAATAAACTGAATTTTCTTAGACTGACATAAGGTGAAAGGTAAAAAAATGAAAGCTTCTAAGCCACTAGGGAGGGGGGGGGGGGAAATAGCATAAAAAATAGTATGTCGTAGAATTAAGGCTATATGATGCTCTTTTTATTTTTTTCAATTAGATTCCAGAATTCTTTAATTCTCCAGAAGGGTAAGTATCGCAAGAAAACTTCATGCGATACTTACCCAATAAGAAATCAAACCTTCCAACTCTGAAGTCTGAAGCCGATCAGAAGAGATATTGTTAAGTCATCATGCAGAAACAGACTTCTAGGAAGAAAAAAATAAGAAAAATTCTGACAACCACTATAGGCATTCCCTTTTTGAGGATACATAATACAGAAACAAAACAATACAGATATATACCCTCGTTTCAGCAAGTATTTAAAAAAAAATCACATTAACATTACACTTTTTTCTATAAATGATACAGATGAAGGGAGAATAAATACTCGTGAGCATCCATAATTCTGCTAGTTGCACTGAACGTTTCTAAGGTACTTTCACAACACGAGTCGCCATCGCTTCCAGCACTTCAGCAAAGGATCTAACCAGGACAAAATCAAGGCACCACGAACCAGTCAACGCAGGGGTTTACACTATACCCTGTGGAGGCTGCGACAAGATTTATGTAGGTGAAACAGCAAGAAACCTCGACACCCGCCTCAATGAACACATTTATGCCTTTAGGAACGATAACGTGAACAACGCCTGAGTACAACACCGGAATTCCACCAATCATCTCATGAAATTCAGGGACGCCCGATTAGTGACCAAAGAAACTAATTTCCGCAGACGCAAGTGCCTTGAATCATCATTAATCGCTATTTTTAATACAGTTAAACAAAACAAAGGCAGCTTCACCATCTCCGAAGTCTTGGCAAGAATCCTCCTGAAAACTGTAAACCCTGCCATCACATAGTCTCTCCTGCTAATACTACACAAGCATTTTACAGAGGATGAACACTGAAACAGGCCTTCTCCAATTCAACCTCCAATAGAAATATTTGTCTAACTTATTTTTATGCTACCCAAGTAATAGCTTTTATATCCTTTTACTCATGTGCAAATTAATTGTATTATTACTACTACTACTACAACTTATATCACTACTACTACTACTACCACCACTAGTATTACACCTCACTCTAAGCCTATATATACACCCTCTGTGTCCATGTACTGTTTGTAACGGCCTGACAAAGCTCCTGGAGAGCGAAACGTTGCCATAATAAAAATGTCACATTAGTTGCACTTTACATATTGTCGGTTATTCTACCAACAGTATTACAAAAAAAATCACGTCAACATTACACTTTTTTTCTATAAATGATACAGATGAAGGAAGAATAAATACTCGTGAGCATCTATAATTCTGCTAGTTTGCAATATTTTGGGGACATTAAAAAGAATTTGCTCGGTGAAACCACGACACTGATGTCATGGCTTCACAAGTAACTGGAGTCATCTTCTTCCTTAGATCGAGCCTAACTGCCTTAAATTCCCCAGGCATTTAATGCCCCTTGCGGATTTGGCGCTTCTCAGTAAATAATAATAATAATAATTCTTACATCAGTTTTCAAGGTAATTTTGGATAAGCTCTTTGCTTATATTCTCCAGATTCAGTTATCGGAACATATGGTCTACAAACAAGGTTTTCCCTCATCTGAAGCAACTTGGGCACTTGATTTGTATGCATGGTACTGTGAACTGCCTCAAATGACATCGATAGTACAAGCTAACAGATTTATGAAGCCTTAGTCTATAGACTTCCATCTTTTACAGTAAGATTCCTAAATTTTGTGGCTTTATTTTTATATATGCGAATCTGGATTGTTTTAATTTTTGGTAATATTTCTGTTTCTCAGTGGATCAAATTCTCAGTTTTATTATAAGAACTATATAACATAATCAAGTGTCTTCTGTAATCGGACATTCTTTTTTAAGTTTACCTGGAGAGGGTTCCGGGGGTCAACGCCCCCGCGGCCCGGTCTGAGACCAGGCCTCATGGTGGATCAGGGCCTAATCAACCAGGCTGATAATGCTGGCCGCACGCAACCCGACGTACGAACCACAGCCCGGTTGGTCAAGTACTGACTACAGATATGAGAAAAATCTGAGAACATCATGGGCTGCTAATATCAAACAGCTGATAACGAAGTACTGAGTAGATAAACAATATGAAGAACCCTGTTGGTTTCTCGTAGGTATCTGAAAATTTCAATTGCCTATAACTTACACATGATAATACTCTAAAACCTAAAAATGATGAAATAACCGCTTATGAACTTACGTCTACACTGTGAAGTGATATAATTAAACAATGCAAAATCTAGTTGAAGAAATGTAAAATACGTGAGGAGTCTTACATCAGAGACGAGTGTATATAAAAATTACTCACTGATGGAGTTGCCGCCGGAGCTACCGATCTCGTGGACCCAGGTCTCCAGAGTGCCATCGTAGGCGCCGTTACCAAAGTCGTAGCCGTAGTTGTTCCAGGCGATGTTGGCACCGTTCAGAAACACTTTTTCTCCTCCGTATGTAAGATCCGTACCAGACACCTGTTAGTAGAACGATAGAAAATCAGCAGTGACCTGCAGTTACTCACAATTAACATATGTAAAAAAAAAAATATGAAAATAAAAGATATTGTGAAGGCAGCCACGAATATTCACAAGCAGTAGCAGAAAGTAACAATAAAACCTGTCCATTTCTGTGACAAGAAATATTTCTGGTAAAGGGATTGCGAAAACTCGCCATCATAATGGACCACGATTCGAATCTCCGTTCATTCTTATGTTTATTCGTATACATCATTTCTTACCGCAAGCCTTTTAGCAGTGGTGGAGCCCAGTAGGGCCAGGAGAGTGAGGAGCAGCATGACAACCATCACAGCAGCTACAGGCGACGACTGAATTACACTCAGATACCTCTTCTTATATACGTATCCATCCCCCGTTACCTCTCCCCCACAGCATCACCTGTAGTACGACCAGTCAACATCCACAAGACCCATCCTTAGGTGGCTTAAATAGGTGTTAGTCACCAGTTCGCAAATTAATTGGGCCACAAAATTTTAAATTTTCATGTACTCAAACTATTCAGCTAGAATAATAATGTTAATTAATACGAGATCACGAAAGTGCCGACTTATGGGTGCCAGATATGGTCTATTAACGTAGATAACTAATTAGCAAGAATATTTTTTATTGTTTATTTATGTTACAGTGGTAAACAATCCACCTCTGCTTACTGTAATATATGTAGTTTTAAACACTGTTATTAATGTATGATATTTTATGCTTTCATTTTAAATATTAATATTTCTTTATGTCTTTTAAAGAGAATAAAGAAAAAAAAATATATCGAAACAATTATGCTGTAGCAACCACTGGTCAAGATCACTCACTGCATTAAACGGAGGGTCATTTTGAGAAATTACTATACAGTGATCTTTTGTTTTTTTAATGTGATGTTTAACCAATGAAATGGTCATCATCTGATTAAAATCCATGTGAGAAGACAATTATCATGTTTCCTGATAAACAAAATACCACCACCATGCAAACTGTATGGAAGTTCAGTGAGGGGGAGGGCATTAATTTTAAAAGGGTGGATCGGTAAGCTAGCGGAATGCCTCGGTCAGATGACCAAACGCTCCAGCGGCGGGTCATAATATGGCTAAGATCCGAATCTGGAAACTCTTGTCCTGACAAACCTTACCTAACCTAGTGAGGGGAGCGAATTAAAATGGGGTCAACTGAAGTACAACCGAAGAAGTAATTCATAGATTATCTGATTCATTGTTGAACTCAAGATCAAGATTCAAACCTAGGATCCCCGAAAAGCATGATCACCTGGAAAAGCTTCCAGAGAGGGGGTGAAATTAAACGTTATGCTGCCCCCTTTGAGATAGCAAAAAGACTTGCCTGAAGGGAAGATACCACAGGTTGCCTACCACAGCAGATCAACAGATGTCGAACCATCTTTACTATGAAAAAGTTGCTCAATTGATGACATTATTACCAAAGAGAATTTCCACAGTTGAAGTCGCTTCTGAAATTTCAAGAAAGTCAGTGAGGCAACTTTTACATTAATCCACTATTTATGAGGCAAAGTACATTTTTTGTAAGAAAACAAATAAGTACTTGAGGCTAAAACACGAGAGGCTCATACGTAATGCACTGAACTGAGAGGAGAACACCTGGAAAGTTGCAGTCAGGAAAATGGACAGAAGAATGCTTAAGAATGCAGGTCACTACCACATGTCTTGTTGCTGTCTGTACACAAAGGGTCAATTGCTACCACAGTCAGCAGATGCTAATGAGGCTAAACATGAGGCTTCGGAGAAATAGTAATATTGAACTGTTTGCATTTATCAGTGTGAAAAATGTCTGTTAGTCTGGTTGCAGTGCCTCTGATGGACCTCACATTACCTGTCACCCAGGTGAAAGCATCGACATTGTACTTCACGTTTTATTTTTTCCGGGTAACAAGGTAAGACTCCTATATCCTGGTAACCTTTCTATTTGTATTGTTGCAAAAGGCATATCATGCATTTAAAAAAGAATTGCAGATGACAAAAGTCAGCCAGGAATGAGAACAGTATGAACAACTCAGCACTGATGATAGATGATGACAAGAATGAAGTTGACAGCTACACAGTGCTGCCTAAAATAACAGAATGGTGAAGAGGATATTTAATGAATGACCTACACTGTCATAAATGAATAAACTAAAGACCGAGGAAAAATACATGTACCTGGAGTTTACCTGAAGAGAGTTCCGGGGGTCAACGCCCCCGCGGCCCGGTCTGTAACCAGGCCTCCTGGTGGATCAGAGCCTGATTAACCAGGCTGTTACTGCTGGCTGCACGCAAACCAACGTACGAGCCACAGCCCGGCTGGTCAGGTACCGACTTTAGGTGCTTGTCCAGTGCCAGCTTGAAGACTGCCAGGGGTCTATTGGTAATCCCCCTTATGTATGCTGGGAGGCAGTTGAACAGTCTCGGGCCCCTGACACTTATTGTATGGTCTCTTAACGTGCTAGTGACACCCCTGCTTTTCATTGGGGGGATGTTGCATCCTCTGCCAAGTCTTTTTCGTGTGCAAGTTCGGTAATAGTCCCTCTAGGATTTTCCAGGTGTATATAATCATGTATCTCTCCCGCCTGCGTTCCGGGGAATACAGGTTCAGGAACCTCAAGCGCTCCCAGTAATTGAGGTGTTTTATCTCCGTTATGCGCGCCATGAAGGTTCTCTGTACATTTTCTAGGTCAGCAATTTCACCTGCCTTGAAAGGTGCTGTTAGTGTGCAGCAATATTCCAGCCTAGATAGAACAAGTGACGTGAACAGTGTCATCATGGGCTTGGCATCCCTAGTTTTGAAGGTTCTCATTATCCATCCTGTCATTTTTCTAGCAGCTGCGATTGATACAATGTTATGGCCCTTGAAGGTGAGATCCTCCGACATGATCACTCCCAGGTCTTTGACGTTGGTGTTTCGCTCTATTTTGTGGCCAGAATTTGTTTTGTACTCTGATGAAGATTTAATTTCCTCGTGTTTACCATATCTGAGTAATTGAAATTTCTCATCGTTGAACTTCATATTGTTTTCTGCAGCCCACTGAAAGATTTGGATGATGTCCGCCTAGAGCCTTGCAGTGTCTGCAATGGAAGACACTGTCATGTAGATTCGGGTGTCATCTGCAAAGGAAGACACGGTGCTGTGGCTGACATCCTTGTCTATGTCAGATATGAGGATGAGGAACAAGATGGGAGCGAGTACTGTGCCTTGTGGTACAGAGCTTTTCACCGTAGCTGCCTCGGACTTTACTCTGTTGACTACTACTCTTTGTGTTCTGTTTGTGAGGAAATTATAGATCCATCGACCAACTTTTCCTGTTATTCCTTTAGCACGCATTTTGCGCGCTATTACGCCATGGTCACAAACACAATCCCTGTATGAATTTTTTATGAATATTGCTATAGAAATATTTTTTTTCACTTAAATATTTGTCACATTTGCCGCTTTGACAGCAGCCGATGTAGACGTGTGGTCGGAGCTGCTACTAAAATTTTACGAAGGTGCACCGCGGGTATGGGTTAAAGAAAACGTATCAACACGATTGGTATTAAGTCACGTCAGAAGTATATAATGCAGTGGGTTTCAACCTTTTTTTTAAGTGATGACACCCTCAAGTCACATTTCTTATTCTGTGGCTCCCCTAGTCAGTTTTCTATCAGAACCGCTTCCCAAGAGTCCTGTCTTAATAATAATAATAATAATAATAATAATAATAATAATAATAATAATAATAATAATAATAATAATAATAATAATAATAATAATAATAATAATAATAATAAAACATACAAGCGCATAAATCACTTGCGAAATATAAAATACACAAGCCCGTCAGTGTAACTAATACAAAAACATTATATTATTTTTTATTATTATCACACTGGCCGATTCCCACCAAGGCAGGGTGGCCCGAAAAAGAAAAACATTCACCATCATTCACTCCATCACTGTCTTGCCAGAAGGGTGCTTTACACTACAGTTTTTAAACTGCAACATTAACACCCCTCCTTCAGAGTGCAGGCACTGTACTTCCCATCTCCAGGACTCAAGTCCGGCCTGCCGGTTTCCCTGAACCCCTTCATAAATGTTACTTTGCTCACACTCCAACAGCACGTCAAGTATTAAAAACCATTTGTCTCCATTCACTCCTATCAAACACGCTCACGCATGCCTGCTGGAAGTCCAAGCCCCTCGCACACAAAACCTCCTTTACCCCCTCCCTCCAACCTTTCCTAGGCCGACCCCTACTCCGCCTTCCTTCCACTACAGACTGATACACTCATGAAGTCACTCTGTTTCGCTCCATTCTCTCTACATGTCCGAACCACCTCAACAACCCTTCCTCAGCCCTCTGGACAACAGTTTTGGTAATCCCACACCTCCTCCTAACTTCCAAACTACGAATTCTCTGCATTATATTCACACCACACATTGCCCTCAGACATGACACTGCCTCCAGCCTTCTCCTCGCTGCAACATTCATCACCGATGCTTCACACCCATATAAGAGCGTTGGTAAAACTATACTCTCATACATTCCCCTCTTTGCCTCCAAGGACGAAGTTCTTTGTCTCCACAGACTCCTAAGTGCACCACTCACCCTTTTCCCCTCATCAATTCTATGATTCACCTCATCTTTCATAGACCCATCCGCTGACACGTCCACTCCCAAATATCTGAATACATTCACCTCCTCCATACTCTCTCCCTCCAATCTGATATCCAATCTTTCATCACCTAATCTTTTTGTTATCCTCATTACCTTACTCTTTCCTGTATTCACTTTTAATTTTCTTCTTTTGCACACCCTACCAAATTCATCCACCAATCTCTGCAGCTTCTCTTCAGAATCACAGTGTCATCAGCAAAGAGCAACTGTGACAACTCCCACTTTATGTGTGATTCTTTATCTTTTAACTCCACGCCTCTTGCCAAGACCCTCGCATTTACTTCTCTTACAACCCCATCTATAAATATATTAAACAACCACGGTGACATCACACATCCTTGTCTAAGGCCTACTTTTACTGGGAAATAATTTCCCTCTTTCCTACATACTCTAACTTGAGCCTCACTATCCTCGTTAAAAACTCTTCACTGCTTTCAGTAACCTACCTCCTACACCATACACCTGCAACATCTGCCACATTGTCCCCCTATCCACCCTTTTCAAAATCCATAAATGCCACAAAGACCTCTTTAGCCTTATCTAAATACTGTTCACTTATATGTTTCACTGTAAACACCTGGTCCACACACCCCCTACCTTTCCTAAAGCCTCCTTGTTCATCTGCTATCCTATTCTCAGTCTTAC